GGGGGGGAAAAAAAAAAAAAAAAAAAAAAAGGCATTTCTGTTGCCAGCGGGGGTTTTCGCTGCGGGTTTTAGTGCCCCTCTCTGCTGAGCAGGCAACGGGAACGTCCCCAGGGTCACCCTCCGACACACCCGTTTCGTTTACACCGAGAGGAGCAGGGCCTACACTGAGATTATTCACAACGTCGACGTCCAACCGAGGGTCTGACGGTTTGAGATCTTCAGTGGCAATGGGGGGCAACTGGAACGCGGCTGGACCCGTCGTGCTGGGCCGGTGCCTCTGCCCAGTTTCCCAGGCCAGGGCCAGCGCCTGCAGCACTTGGGCTCTTCTTTAAGTCTTCAAATTGAAGAGTTACCAAAAAAAACAGGTGCCTTCCACAAACAACCCACGTTTTAATGAACCGCTACGTAAAATCCATTTTTTACGAAGTTCGAAGAGCCCCGTTTTACAAAACTAACTCAAGTTCATGTTTGTGTTTTCAGAGGAAGAAGGATGTCACAGAAACAGCTGAAAGAAGCCTTTATCAGCAACTTAAATGGAACCAGTCTGCTGGAAATTACCATGGGCCTGTCTCTAGCTCCGCTCTGCCTGCTCTGCAGAGGACTCCTCCTGATTTTGTATTACCTGCACTACGGGAAACCTTTAAGTTCAAGGAGATACGGCCTGCTGCTAGACTTCCTTGTGCTCGTATCGCCTCTCCTGTTCTCCTGCACAGTCCTGTCTCCAATCATCTTTTTCATGCCGGCTATCATCGCAGCCTTTTGTGCTGGAATATTTTTAAAAATATACAGCCAAAGAAAACACGAGACCAGAGTGCCTTTCAGGCAAATTGTGAAAGATTTCCAGAAGACATATTTGGATCCAGGATACATTCCAGCAATAACTGTGTTCCGTGTTTATGTCAACGTGCTGACATCAATCAGCATTTTAGCGGTGGATTTCCCGCAGTACCCAAGGCGATTCGCCAAAGCCGAGACCTATGGAACGGGAGTTATGGATTTTGGGGTTGGAGCTTTTATTTTTGGTAATGCTCTCGTTTGTCCTGAAGTCAGACAAAAGTCTCCTGTGACACAACCAAAATTTTCCAGTCTGGCCAGGCAGTTTGTTTCCGTTTGGCCGTTGATTTTTCTTGGCGTTGGGCGACTGCTTAGTGTAAAATCTATAGAGTATCATGAACATACTTCAGAGTATGGAGTGCACTGGAATTTTTTCTTTACCTTAGCATTTGTGAGGCTTGCAGCTTCTCTACTTTTAGTTGTTTTTCCGAGAAATACTTCTTGGATTGTTGCTATAAATCTCGCTGTACTTTACCAGCTTGTGCTTAACACTACCTCTCTGAAGATGTTTATCTTGCACGGGAGCAACGGCAGAGATACTAGGGATGGCTTTTTAAACGCCAACAGGGAAGGGCTGCTCTCTCTTTTTGGCTACCTAGCCATATACATGGCGAGCGTCCAAGTGGGACTGTGCCTGCTGCAGTTCAGAAACTCAGTCAAGGGCTGGCTCGAAGCGGTGTGCTTCTTGCTGCTGACCGTCCTCCTGCTCTTCGTGTTCCTTCACGTGTCGCAAGCACACGCGGACCCCGTGTCCCGCCGGATGGCCAATCTCTCCTACTGCATCTGGGTGCTCGCTCACTCTCTGACTTTCTTTATCGGCTTCGTAGTGACTGATCTCGCGTTGGTGTTCACGAAGCTGCTTGTGAAGGGCTCCAGCGTGCCCTGCTGCTGGGACGCTGCGAAGCTCCCAAACACGGGTACAAAGCCTGAAATGGAGGGCGTGCCTGTGGGCAGGGGAGGCAAGCTGCCGCCCGTGTGCCTGATTAGTGCTATTAATAAAAATCAATTACTGTTTTTCTTGCTAGCAAATGTTATGACTGGTGCTGTGAATATACTGGTAGATACAATCCACAGCAAGGCTGCATTTACCTTATGTATACTACACTTGTATATGTTCTTTAACTGTTTCGCTATGTATATACTGCATGCCAAAAACATAGCATTAAAGTTTTGGTGATTCCACTGTCTTGAGCACTCTAGTTAAACTTTGTTTGCTGTAGCTGAATGATGGTATTTTAATGGAAAAAATTAGTATTTTTCCCATATGTTTTGCAATAATTTAGTATAGCTCTTTATGATTTAGATTTTTATTTTTTAGGATTTATTTTTATTTTTTAGCGGTTTGTTTTACCAAATTATACAGCCAATGCTGTTACCTGTTACACATTTTCCTGGAAACTTAGTTTTTAGGATTAAATGCTCTGCTGAATGCTCCTGCTGCTCCTATAAATGCTCATGCAGCAGAGTAACACTGCATTTACAGTTAGGGAATCCTGTTCATATCCAAGTGCTGGTAGAGTTAGATAACAACATATAGAGTAGAAGCCAGATGAAAAGTAAGAAAATGAATAATTATGAAGAGAGAGACTTAGTTGTGTCAAGATTTACCTAGTTAGGCCCTTGCATAAATAACAGATAAGAATAATTCTTTATACCAAATGCATTGAATAAGTGGATACTTAAAAACGTTTTGGCCCCAGTCCTGCAAAGATTTATGCATATGCTTGACTTTGATGGCAGTAATTGTACGTGGAATGTTAATCATATACCGAAATCTAAATTAGCCTTTGAATTAAAGCTAAATTTTATTTTCATCCTCACTGATGAATATAAATGAAGACCCTAGATAAAGCGTGATGCTCTGAAGGATAAAAAACTGCAGATGAATTCATAAAGCAGTCGTTGGAATTTGTGGTGCAGATCATAAGAGCAGCACAGCCTTGTATAAGAAAATACAAAGATCTAAAAAAACTAATTCACCCCCAGCCTGCATACCAACTTGTTGTGACAGCTCATCTTTAGGAACACTGTAAAATATGGTCTTCAGCTCTCCTTTGAAAGTACTCAAGGCCCACTTACTTGCCTGTAAAATTACCTTAAACAGCAGCTCATTTAGTACTGTGTTTTGGCAGCTGAGATGTCTTCAAGTGGGAACGTTCTGTATTAATTTTTATTAGTAAACAGTGTGCAAATGGAAAGAAGCGTGACGCAGTGGGTCGGGGTACCGGCAGAGCACTGACAAGAGATGTGCTCAGTTTCTCTACCACCCTCTAGAACACCCTCTTTGTTCACTTTCCTAACTGTGACAGTTCTTCCTGACCTCATTAAGTTGTTGAGAAACAGATTTAAAGATTGTGAGGAATTCAATAATGGGAGCTATAAATACTTAAGAAGAAGAATACAAATGGTAGTTGATGATAGATGTCTAATGTCAGTGGAGTTACAGCAGTGCACATGGGCCATATTTCATACTTCTCCTTGTCTATCAAATGTGATGACTCATAAAACCTATGGAGATTGAGCCTCTAAATCTGATTCCTTAAGGCAGACATGCTGTGGAATCTTCTTAACTTTATGAGGTTCTCTTAGCCACTAGCCAATGGAAAGGGGAAGTCTGAGGATTAGAGGCTGTGGCCGTGCTGATTTCATGCTTGTTTACTTCCAAGTTGTAGCCATACGGTCCTCAGAATTAAAGAAAACCAGCCTGTATTATCCTGGGGACAAATGCAATTAATTGGCAACAATGTCTGATGAACAGTTGTCAAAGTCTATAGCAGAGCTTCCTGGTTCCTGCCGTATGTATTTATTTTAAACCCTTTCCTACCCTTGCCTAGGGAAGAAGGGCCTCCATCATGAACTGAACGGCGGCTACTCACTCATGCAAAATTACTCATGGATATTAATTTTTTGAAATATCTGAAGCGCAAGACCCGCAGCGAGTTCTGTGAGCACAAGTCTATCAGTGTGATTCAGAATTCAGGCATCAATTGGGTGTGACAAAGCGGAGCTGTGTCTGGACAAGCAGCAAACTATCTAGATGCCAACTCCGTTTCGGTGAAGCAAAAATTACGTGGGAGGTCTGCTGTGTTTGTGCAGAGCTCCGGTTGCTCCGCAGGCTGGCGGGGACCAACCCCGGGGCTGGAGCTGTGGGTTGCAGCCCCGGAGCTGGCAAACCGAGGGGACCGCGGTGGTGCACGAGCGACGAGGAACGGCGCTGCACCGCATCGCCAGGCCGTCTCCCGCTTTCAGAGCCCCATGAAGTAAGTTGTTCACCACTGAATTAATGAGAGATAATTAATCCTCGTTGCTTATTGTCGATAACAAATGTGGCAAGCTCTGCCCTGAAGCAACCAGCATAGTTACTAATGCTGAACGTTTAGACTATGAATAGATACAGATAATTAACCATGCCTCTGAAAGAACCAAGAAATGCAAGTGTTCTTTGATCACGGATTCCGTACGAGCAAACGGCACCACAGCGAGTTTGAAAAGATACAACACTGCTGTGGACACTTTCTCCAGGCACACCGCAACGGCTGTGAGTTCAGTGGTTGGTAGGAACACGAACGCTACATTTCACCTCTCTGGGGTGTGTTTATCTTGTATAGATCAAAGATATATTTTTTTAAAGATAAAAAACTTTGGTTTAGCTGTTATGTAATTAGTAAAAGATACTTCAACTAGTAAGACTAAAATGGCTCAACTGTAGCATGCCACCGACTTCATTAACAGTAGTAAGGCAGAGGGCTGGAAAAACATAAATTGTTTTGTACTTGCTTCCACTGAATGACCTTTTTGTAAGGCTGCAGGATAGAAAAAATATGGTGGGAGAGTAGAACTGCTTACATTTATCCTTAATCTTGTTATTTGTTAAACATTAGTAGCTTCTTACCAAATTTCATTGTTTTTAAGCATCAACTCACTAGCATGCCTTCCTTTCCAACCCAGCGGTGTCTCTTTTGAAGTCAAATGTTACAATAAAGATTTCAGGCAGTATCCAATTTCAAAGCCGCTATGTCCTAAAAGAACAGGTATTTCTTCCAGGTGAAAGAGGGGCATGCAAATGAACAGCACGAAGGGGCTGTCTTTTCACTGTCTGGTAGGTAACAAGCAAGATGCACGTTCTAGCAATTTGAAAAAAAAAAAACCCACAACCCTTTTCCATGGATAAAAATTACATGAAATGTAATGGCGCTTTTCATACGTAGTTTATCACTGTGCACGCCGAGAATACAAAATCTGGGGCACTGCTGTTTTGTCGATGTGATCCAACCACGCTGTGGGAGCGAAGGGGCAGAAGTGACACAGGAGCCCCCACGCTGCACGGACCCGCTGAGGCCAACGTGTGCTCATCCCGGTCAGTGCGCTCACCATGCTGTAGTGGGGGAAACTCCCCCGTTACCAAATGCCAGCTCTCTTTTTTGCTCAAGACAACGACCGTGAAAATACACAAACTGCAAACTGTGCAGTGATGTGGCTCTGCGCGATGTTTCCGTTGGAGATGTTGCATGATAAGTTCAAGTAAATTAACTCCTCCACTAAAGATGGGTTTTATGCAGAAACAAGGAGAAAAAAAAAAATCCTGCTCTCTAATTGCCTCCCCTGCATTTTCTCGCGAGGACTTTAGTATCTGTATACATAAATAACAAGAACAGATCAACTGTATTATTTTAATAGTTCAAGAAAGGCTGGGAGGGATTTTTTGGCTGCCTCAACTAAGCGGCCGCAGGATTTCTAGCTGCTCGCTCTAGGATGCTGCAGAAGCCAAGAGCCTTAAGTTAGAGCCCGCAAGCCCAAGTCCAGCCTGCCCTACCCGGCCTGCAGTCGGGGCCGGGACACCCGAGGCTGCACTTCCACGCCCGGGCTCGGTCCGCAGCGCCGCCGCCGATGCCTCCCTGTCACCTTACGCTCCCCTCGCAGGCAAAACCCGCGCCGAGGCCGCTTCCACACACACAGGGGCCGATTCGCTCCGGCCTTGTCCCCCTCGGGACAGCGACGGGTTTTCATCCCGCCAACGCTTCGGGGTGAAACCGCCGCCC